GGAGAATTACTCTGTGAGTAAAGTGAATGTCTGAAAGCAGCTAAACCTGAAGTTGAATACATGGAGAATTATGGATGTCTGGAGAACTTGGTACATTATTCATCATATTTGGAAAGTCACTTCACCCACTGACGACATGAATTTACTTGACTGCACTAAGTTATAGGTCAAATTAATCTTGATATATTGAGCACAATTTGGAAAATGTGTGAGGAATGGATGTGTAATTATCAAGTTCTACTTAAAATAAATCTTTTAGAAGCACTTTCCCCTGACGGTGGCTTGCAATTCAAAGTGTCAGCGAGATGCTCAACTCACAGTGATACTGAGAAGTAAGGGGCTCTGCCACTGCTGCATTTACTGAGTGAGAATTATGGGTTTTCAGGCAGTAATTTTGGGCGTCAGAGCAACTAGATGACACAGTCTGATGAGGCAAAGTGGAGTCTTAATGTCTGATGTGCTTCTCTGAGCCATTTTGGTTTTTAAATGTAGCTTTAATGCTTTTAATCATGTTTCATGCAGATGTTATACGAGAGGAACCAGAACACACTGCAACGAGTGAGAACTGGACAAATGCCCTGCAGTGGACTAAATTCACACTGCAGTGTGTATGTGCAGGTGTGTGTGGCAGGACAATGGATGATAAATGCCTGCCAGTATGAACATGTGTACATTTGTCAGTTTAACCTCTTTGGGGACACACTCGTCAAACTGTGAGTGTGTGTGTTTGGAAGCCTGTGCGCGTGTGTTTCCGTGTCCAACAACAGCACACATTTACAGTTGTGTGGTTGTTTGTGCAGACTGATGTGAATAATGCCCTTAGTGGATGTGTGTTTGTGTGAAGTTAAACAGGTTTATAGTGTGTGTGTGTGTGTGTGTGTGTGTGTGTGTGTATTTGAGTATGCGTGTTTGATTGGGCCATCAGCTGATCACGGAGAAGGATGGTGTCAGACCAGGCGATGATAATCCAATCATGAGCCTGCAGCAACGTGATAGGCCGAGAAGCAGGAAGTATGATCTGATTAAAGGGACATTATGGCCATGTGCAGAGTGCCCAGTGCCTGAGGGTTGACAGGTGTGCGTACACACACACACACACACCGACACAGACAGACACACACAATAAACCTGCCTGCCTAGACACTGATACAAGCCCTCACCATGCACAAACACAGATGTGATTGCTACTAAGAATTATTGGAAACATTGGTGTGCTGCAGAAACATTGACATCAACAGACTTGTGGGTGTGTGTGTGTTTGGGTGTGTGCGTGCGTATACCACCCAATGCTCATTTGCAATATCAGTGGGAAGCAGAGAAAGGGTAGGAAAGAGGAGTAGAGATGCTTTTTTCAACTCCTCTCATTTCACATATCTATTTTTATTTATCCGATATTAGAGCAAGAAAAGGGCCTGGTAATTATTGGTAGTCACATCACAGGACAACAAGACACACACACACACACATTACCATCTGAAAATTCTAAAAGGCCACAGTGTTTGTGTGTTCTACAAAATCACCCTGCAACACACAAGTGATTAGTGGCCCTTCAATAACTGGAAAAGGGAGAGTGAACACCGGGAAGCTGTATACTTCCATTAACACCCCTGAGTGTCAAAGCACCAGTCGTGTGTGTGTGTGTGTGTGTGTGTGTGTGTGTGTGTGTTTGTGTGTGTTACCTTCTTGGTGAGGTTGTGGTCTTGGTCATGGGGCATGCGGGTGGAGACATGGAAGATAACCTCGGTGGTAGAAGTGGCATAGTAAGGAGTGGTCTGGCCTGTACTGCGGTTCCTTTGGAGACCTCCCATGAAGCCACAATGAGTGGTGAGGTCCACCTAAGTGTCAAACACACACACAAACACACTTTAACTGCCTTAAAGCCTAAAATACAAAAATTGATCAAGATAAAATGTTGACATATTAAATAAGTTTCTCTGGTCACTTAAAAAAAAGAAGGAACATTTGCATTGCTAATAGAAGTTTGATTAGAGATGTTTCTTTTCTCTGTTCTTCAATTTTTTTGCCTGCTTCTTGTCTCAGCGCTGCTGCTTCACACAAACACTTCACATCAAAACACACAAAGCATATTTGCCACACACAATGGTTGTGAACATCTGCTGAAAATTTTGACACACAGGAAATAATTATTTTCACCACTTGACCAACATAGTTTTTTCTATAAGTGTAACAATCTTTAAAAGGTTACACTGTCTGATGATATAAAATATAAATTGCAGATAATTAGATGCAGCAATACACAATACATTCTTTATAGAGAATTATTATTATTATTAAGATGATTTGAATAAATGGATTCAAACCTCCCAGCCCAGTCCAGAGACAAAGTCTTCATAGGCCTGGCTGCCTGTTGTGTTGGTGAGGATGGAGTGTTTGTCTTCTTGGCCCTCAGCCACATAAAATACTGCGATTTTATGGGTCTCACGGCTGAAAGAGAAGGAAGGAAAAGGAAAAATGATATTAACCATCACCAGAAAATAAATTGTTAGGATAGAAACAGATATTTTCTATAAGTTCTATTTGTTTGAACCAAAATTGTACTCAAGTACGTCCCCTTTAACCCCAGCGTAATGATAACTTCACGGTGGAATGGGATGCCACTTAAGTCTTCTGCACATTATCTCAATCAGACAGTAGATTAGAAATCATGACGTAAATGTCACTATAACTTTGGAAATGAATGTATATTTAAATTCTTCTACTCTATGCATTTTCAGTAGCAGATTACATTCGATTTAAGACCCTGTCCAATCATATTCTGTAACTATTTGCAGGGAGTTATATGTTGCTCTAAATAACAAATTGGAGGGGGGGGGCAGACATGTTTATTATTAGGGCATTATATTTAATTTCCACAAATCAGACTGGGATTAGGGAACACATTAAGAGTGAGGGAGATGAAACAGTAAAAATCAATATTTGATGAACATTTAATGTTTTTAGAAGAACTAAACTCTGCTATTTCCCATTTAAATCAGAAAGAGGAGGAATAAATAAACTGTCAAACAATAAATAAAAATATCTAAAAGTGGAGATAGAGGAAGGACAGCAGTAACTTTTTTTTTTTTTTACCATTGCCGTGAGTCCAGGTTCTTCAGTTCTCTCAGTAACTTCTCATTCTTTCTCAACAAATGAAAGTTACTCCTGCAAGACACAGATACATGCATGGGTTAGGAATCATTATCCAAAGTTATGCTTACTCCTTCCTCTCCAACATTATCTGGCAACTTGTCTTTCCTTATTCTTGGCTTGTTGCCTGTTTTTGTGACCATTTTCTATTCTTAAAAAAGTTAGAATAGACCTGGCAGGACCAAACGGACCACAAAAGCTGGAAAAAAAGAAAATATTAGTTCCCAAGACCTTTGGGAAGGTAAAAAAGATGCTATGACGTTGTTTAATACAGCAGCTTCATCATTGCCAGACTGGAGAGCACAAAATCCATCAGCACAAAAAGGATTAACAATTATATATATACACAATTATGTATCCTCATTTTTCATCAAAATTTAAAATATATCTTTGATTAAGAAAATGTTACTCTGCAGCATAAGCTTGTTGCATGACTTTCGTAAAACATATTTTAATTTTGTTACTACAGGTTAGTTTAAGCTTAAAAGATGACAGACTCTGAAGGAAGATGTACCCCAAGTTGATTGTCATACAGAGGAGATAATCAAAATTATTCAGTGTTGAGCTCATTTGTTCACAGAAAAATGACAGAATTACTAAAGAATGATAAAGAAAGCTTAAGGAGACGTTCAAAGCCTGCTTACTTTCTCAACTCAGCACCGCTGGCCAATTACTACACAAAGAAGTCGTGCATGTTGGATGGTCTGTTTCATAAAATTTGCAGTTCCAACAATGAAAAGGTAAATGGAGAGAGGGTTTCAGATGTACCTCTTCTACAGGTTCCCAGACTGCCCCCTTACAAATACACATTACTTATTGTATTACAAATCAGCAACATGTCATGCTGCCCGTGGCTCGTGTCATCAACCTTTTCAGGGTCCAAACTAAAAAAAGATAATAATGAAAACAAAAGCCTTTCATACAGATCAACTCGTCCAGGAAAGTTCAAAATGTCCCAGGGACCAGCCACCAACCTTGGCACGGCTGATGTAAAAAACACGACTCGAGCAGCGAAGCTTGGAGTGGACTGATAATGACATATCATTTTTTTCACTCTTAGATAGAGGAAAAAGAGAGAAGGAGCGGGAGATAAAGAGATGGAGAGTGAGACAGCTATTTGCTCTTTATTAAACTGATACTTGGTAATGGCCTCATTCTCTGCTCTCAAAGACTCCATTTACATCCTGGATTATAGGGAAAAAGCATAAAAGGAGGACAAGGACACACACACACACTGACACTGACACACACACACACACACAAACACACACACACACACAGAGGTGACTGTCAGCATCTCAGTGTCTGTTATGTCCCATATGAATACCTGGAGAGAGACATAAGGGGACAATAACAGATGATTAGGCAATCTCTGTCCTTGTTTTTCAGTTTCTTTAGGCTAATTTATTCCCATATTCACTCATTTATTTTGGTTCCATTTCTTTTTTTTTCTGCTTTATATTCTATTTCTACATCTACATGTGCCTTAGTCATCCCATTCTGTGATTTGCCATCCATCTTTTCTCCTTCAACTACTGCCTTTTATTCTAACTACAAATGGGTTGAGTCTGATCAATAGGGTACTATTACTCATTATCACAGAGACACACGCACGCACACACACACAAGCCCACAGTGTTAAAAAGTCTATTGTGCAGGCTGAATGCAGACGGTGTAATTCCCTGGATAAAGCATAAGGAGAGATGAGTGTCCATTAGCTGGCCAGACACATTTAAAGTGATGCCTTGACATTGTGTATTTTAACCCAGAGTCATTGAGAAGATGAAATGTGCCATGTGAATAGTGTCTAATTAGTAAAAAATGCTGTGAGTTTTTGTCTCATTTCCATTCAACAAGCATTTGATTTGTTCGAGAGGAGACAAAAAAATGAATAAAGGGCTCCCCACATATGTCCGACAGCAACCAGTAGGCTATGGATTACAGCAACGTCTTTGTAGCAAACAATATTACTTAAGTCCAAGTTTAGTTAACTTAATGTCTTTTATTCTGATAAAGGTTAAAGCAAACTGAATAATAAAACACATCGGAGGAGCGTTGCATATCCGCACAAGCTTTGTCTCAAGTGCTCTTTGTCCCACTACCTCACACAGACGCACACACACAATGACTGTCAGAGTCAGGCCCCTGCAGTCTTACCATCAGCTGCAGGGGCCTATTAAAACATCTGTAAGGTTTTTACCATGCTTTGCTGGCAGGCAGAGTTCCGTCTTAGACCTGCCTTTGTCTGTTGCTCTGCCGCTGCCCCAAGAACCATCAGCCCCAATTTGTTAATCATCTTGAAATACCCTTACAACTAATACTTAAACCAAGTTTGGTGAAGATATGTTAATAACTTATGGAGTTATTTTGTGTAAAGATATATATATATATATACACACACAGAAAAAGTGTCCTTTAATGTCAAAGTTGCCAAATCTATGTACATCCATGTAAGTATCAACTTTCAAATGAAAATTCTTGCTTCCATTTGTTTTGTAAGAAAACAAGATTAAAATGTTATGTCTCGTTGTTTCTGACATTTAGACCCCATGGTACATTGTTATTGATTTTAATTTGGGCTCTCGTGTGTCTGGTCTCACCTCTTCTCCCAGGAGTTGAGTCCCAGTATGTTGATGAGTAGTCTGCAGTAGTAGAAGGCTGACTGTGGTGTCTGGGTCTCCGGTTCAGTCTGCTGCAGTGCTCTCATGTTCAACTCCTCACCTCTCTGAAACAACCAACATTTCACTTTTATACAAAAAGGCCTGGACATAAAAAAATATGCAAACTGTAGTTGTTGAAGTCATTTTATAAAAGTGTGAAACGGAAAAACATATTTTTCTGCTAACAAATCGTACAAACTGGTAAACACAGCAGCTAGCTGAGTTGTAGGTGCCTTATTTGATGTATAACAACAAAATCCCTTGTTAGTACTATGTAATATAACTTTTTCTGAGACAGTGAGCTAGCATGAGCAATACCAGCATCCTGAAACTAAAGCAGCTGAATGGAATCCATCATCATTGACAGCTATGCATTAGTATCCTGGTTATTCATGTTTTTTTATTATATAACCTGTTTTTGTTTAGGCATGTAAACCTCATATCCTGATTTCAGTGTGCTGGTTGTCCTTGTTTTGAGAAACACGATTTTACAAGCTATAAGACTCTGTAACCAGGATACTGGTGCATGTATACATCTGATCCCGGTTTCTGAACACTGCTGAGGACGTGTTTTGCTGTTGTTCTCGTCTCCCATTGCTGGCAATAAGGTGGACAAGCCAAATTTGTCGTGTGGTGTTGGCACTTAACAGAGGGTTTTATAGTGGGCAGCCTCATTTTCAATAGCAACCACACAGGAATCAAATGCAAATAAAATATAATCATCAAATAACACACAGTTGTGAGTAACTGGGATACTTGTATCTATCATGTATACAGGGATACGAATAATAAGATTTTGCCATGTTTCATGTAAACACCATATCATGATTAAACCAAGACTAAGCCTCATAACTGGGATACTAGTGCACTTTCCCTACTGGAGATGGAACACATCCTCACTATTGTTCACAGCAAGTGGTGTTGAAACCTCATGTTACTGTTGAGTAGTACGAGGCGAGACACTATGCACTAAGTACACACTTGCTGCTTCTGCATAGAAAATACAGAAACTAACTGGTTTGATTCATTCTACTCAAATGAATATGAACACTACACACATGAAGGACGAACTCTCTCTCAGCGGCACTCTGCTTTAGGATGGCATTGATCACATCGTTCTCCTGCTTTTCCGAAACGCAAGCTGGAGGAGGGGCGGGGATGTTGAGCGGCATGCCTGTAAGGACCAATCAGAAGACAAAATAAGTTGTTCATCAGATTTGGTGTTTGGTTTTCTTTAGAGCATCAGGTTGTTGTGTAATGTTGTCATTATGGATGGGTGTTCCTCTGTTTTGATAAACAGAATGAGAAACAATTCGGATTACGAAAAACTGTTATTTGTGTGTGTGTGTGTGTGTGTGTGTGTGTGTGTGTGTG